AAAGCCTGTCAGTCACCTGGTGTGAACAGTCCTACCATCAGAAGTCAAGTCCTCCATAAACCAGCCGGATCTCACCTGCTGGTGAGAACTAGAAGGACCTTTGGAGCTAGACGGGCTTACCTGCGAATCACCGTTCTCCCTCCTCTAAGTTGTTCTGTTTCCTTGAGAAGGTAATCAACCTTTAAAGAAACCCTAGTTTTTTTATTTCTAAAATAATAATAGCAAATAGTAACAGAGCATTTTTGGTGAGCCATTGTTCTAAGCCCTTTACATTAACTCACAACAACTGTATGATGGTGCTACTGTCATTATCCTCATGTTATAGAAGGGGAAACTGAGGCACAGAGAGCTTAATGGTCAAGTAATTTGAAATCAGTGGCAAAGCTGGGATTTTGACCCAGGCAGGATAACTCTGAAGTCTATGCTATGAGCCACGGTGCCACGCTGTGTTGCCTCTGGAGAGAAGAGAACCAAGGATGTAAAAGCCTCTGGTCCAGAGCCGGGCACACAGTCAATGGGACTATTACAATGCTGAGAATAAGAACGTGTAACATCTCTGACCACCCACAAAAAGAGAAGCACCAATTTGTGGAGAATGTTTTAATGTTGATCTTATACCAAACCCTTCTTGTGCCTTCGCCTTTAATCTTTCAGGACCTGCTGGCTGATGCTTTCCTAGTTGGGGGTGTGGAGTTCCTTTAGAGAAGGCGTCTGTCTGTCCGTACACACCACTTACCTTCCCTGCACCTGCCAGGGCAAAGAGCGGCTGGCAGGTGGGCGGGGATGAGAAATGGCGGCGAGGCCAGGAGCACAGGTGCACCCATCCCCCGCCCTCCCGTGGCCTGTGGCCCAGCACAGGCTGTGCTGCTGGAGCTGCAAGTCTTTCCTGTTGACAGTAATTAGACCTTTCAGACTAAATTTCTTACATGAAAAAAATCCCAAATCACTTGAATTGTCTCCTTGATCCAGTTCACCTGGAGCTATTTAGTTCCCGCAGTTTGTTTGGAGGGAAAAACAAGCTCTTAAGCCTTCACACATTACGGTTGATAAGATCAAGGTGCTGAAAGTGTTAGTTGGGTAAACGCTAGAGCCAGACTGCCTGTGTCTGAATTCCAGGTCTACCTCTTACGCGTGCATGATCTGAGTTTTTGTGTCTGTGAAATGGGGGTAACCATAGTGAAGATTAAATGAGACGACATAGGACAAGCCCTTGCAAGAACAGTGCCTGGCCCATAGTAAGTGCTCAATAAATGTTGGCTGTTAATATTATCATTAAGCCCACCCAGCCTTCAGACCCCCATCTTTCCCTCCCAGCCTCAGGTTTTATTCTGGGAAGCCATGTTCCCTTCCTGTCCCCCCAGGCTCTGGACCCTTCTTTTATCACTTACCAAATGACAGTCAACCCTTAAACAACATGGGTTTGAACTGCACAGATCCCTTTGTACATGTTTTGTTTTTTCCAGTACAATACTATACATGTATTTTCTCTTCTTTATGTTTTTCTTAATATCATTTTCTTTTCTCTAGCTTACTTTATTATAAGAATATAACATATAAATACATATAACACACAAAATATAAGTTAATTGACTGTTATCAGTACAGCTTCTAGTCAACAGTGGGCTATTAGAAGTTAAGTTGTTGAGGAGTCAAAAGTTATACATGGATTTTTGACTGTGCAGGGGGTTGGTGCCCCTAACCCCACATTGTTCAAGGGTCAACTATACTTCACCTCTCTAAGCCTCCTTGTCCTTGGCTGTGAAGTGGGACTGGGAATAATGGAGTCTACTTCATAAGGTTGTTGCGAAGGTGAAGTGAGCTAATTCAAGGCTCAGTGACTATTTAGTCTCGTTACTGTTGTTCCTGAGGCACAAAGCGTTGCCTGAAAAGGCCTTTGAGATCTTGGAGAGCTCTTAGAGGGCCTGAAGTAGGCATTTAGGGTTAGCTAGTGCCTGAGTGTAAGTCTCGGGAGCTAAGAAGACTGCTGGCTTCTTCATCACTGTAACACTGTGCCTGGAACTGAGGAGGCCCATAGTAATACGAAATGAAGGAATACTGCAAAGAGTATTTAAAAACATGTTTGGCTCAGGCAACCTGACAGAGAATTTCAAGGCAGACCACCCCTAGGTGTTTAAGCACTTAAACTCAGCAGGAAACACCTTCCTCTTCTCGCCTGTCTTTGCCCCCAGCATTTAAAAACAAAACTAAAATATCCCCCACTGTTTGGTGTTACTATGTTGTAGACATTCTGCTAAGTACTTTATAGACATCCTCTCTTTTAATCTTAACTTCAACCCTGAAAGGTAAGTGTCATCATTCCCATTTTATAGATGAGAAACTGAGATTTAGAGAGATTGAGCAATTTGCCCGCGGTTGCGTAACTGGTAAATTGCAGAGCTAAGGGTTGAACCCTAGCCTGAGAGACAGGAAGCGGCCAGCTCCTGTTTGCTCATCGGTGTTCTGATTTTGGAACAAGCGTGACCACTTGCCATTCTCCCAAATACCCACTACTCAACTGAGGAGTATCTCCGAGCAGCAAATGCCTCTCTCTCAAAATATCCAGCCACTACATTAGTAGAACTGCTGTCTTCCACAATGAAGGTGGCAAAAGGTCTCTATTTGCCTAGATTTTCATTCATCTCTTTATCTTCCTCATTTTCCATTTGGGAAAGTCAAGTTCCAGAAGTGGTGAACAAGCTGTATTCTGTTATTCTGATGTATTTAGTATTTCCAAGAGCTGTTGTGCATTAGAGAAATACAAAATGATTTTTGTAAATCATCCTTCTATCTTTGGAAGCAACTATTTGAAGTACATGAGTTAGAATGTCATCAAGAACCTAAAGAGAGCTGAGGGTCTGGAAACCAGGAGGCTGAGATTGATACCCAACCTTGTCTTTCTTGACTCAGTGTGGGAGTTACACAGTCCTCTAGGCTTCCCGTATTCCTTCACTGATTTATCTTCCCAAGGATATCTTGTGGGTAACTTTGGGGGACAAATGTGAATTTCTGTGAAACACTTTGACCCCCTAAGAATGATCAGATACATCCACCAATTAGCCGAGGAAAGCAATGATGATTCAAAGATAGCATTTTCTTTTATAGACGTGTTTGTGCTTCGCTGACATTGCATTTTTTTACAAATTGAAGGTTTGTGGCAATCCTGCATTGTGCAAGTCCATCGGCGCCATTTTTCCAATAGCATTTGCTCACTTTGTGTCTCTGTGTCATGTTTTGGTAATTCTCACAATATTTCAAACCTTTTCATTATTGTTGTGGTCATCTGTGATCAGTGATTACAACTTGCTGAAAGCTCAGATGATGGTTAGCATTTTTTAGCAATAAAGTATTTTTAAACTAAGGCATGTACTTTTTTTTAGATATAATGCTATTGCACACTTAATAGATTGCAGCTTAGCGTAACCATTACTTTTACATGCACTGGAAAACCAAAAAATTCATTTGATTCACTTTGTTGGGATGTTTGCTTTATTGCGGTGTTCTGAACCAAACCCACAGTATCTCCAAGGTATGCGTGTATTTACTTCCTTCCAGAAGTCACTCCTCTTTACACAGGGAGTTCTGGAGTGAGAATAATGTGGGAATCCATTATATTCAATAGCTTTTCTCCCCTTTCTTCACCTTTCCTGCCCCTTACCTTAAAGCTGTAAGACCGTGAGTGGCTATTACACCATCCTTTGATGAGCAAAACCTCCTACCAGGCTGTGCCCGAGGTCAGGCGAGTGAGGAGAGGAAAGCGCACACCCCACTGTGGCCAAGACGAAGGCCACAAAAGCCATCTTGATCCTTTGACCTACACTGGCACTGAGCCTGTTGCTTTGGTGACCCTGACTTTGGCAGTGTGGTTAGTTTAACTCTCTGCCCCCACCTTGAATTGAGCTTTGATGAAAAAGTAGTAGGAACCCAGGCCTGTCCCTGGAGATTTGGGGTTTTTATCTTGGAAAAGCATCAACCAAACTAGCAGGGCAGGAGATCTGGATGCCTGTGGCTTGGGCTAACTTGGGTCCAAAGAAACCAAGTGCCTATGATCATCATCTTCATTCCCCAAATGTGGCCATGCCCTCTGGATTCCCTTGTCTCACTCATTCTCCCAGTTAGGATGGCTTCCAGGTTGCCTGCTGTTGCTTTACCATTAGCTTGTTCTTCCATATTTGAAATGCTTTGGTATACAGAATACTTGCGGATTGCCTGGCTGTTCTAAAATCTTTTGGCTTTGGTACATGTAATAACAAAACAACCTTTACACATCAGTGTATTTCCTCTCCCTTGGGAGCCGAGAGACCTCCCTGAGATTTGCATCTCTGGGTTTGCTGCTGGGCTGCAGAGCCTCATCCTGGCTCATCTCTCCCAGGGCACTGCTTCTGTATATCAGGAATCATCTGGTTGCCTTGATTGTATATCTTGAACCTTTGTCTTGGTTTCCTGTAATAGAATGGCCAGATTTTTGTGCAGGCATCCAAAAGAAGCCAGGCTGTGCAATACTGGATGACAGAGTAATAAGGTCTGTGGGTTGCTGTGATGTATTCTTCTCCATATATTGAAAGACTGAGTTTGCCTTAGTAGTGCTTCCAGATATCCGTGGATGGTCTTTGGGCATGTTGTGGTGAATGCTACCATGCCAGAGAATTTCAGCAGATTTAACCAGCTTTGAAATGACTCGTTCTTGTAGATTTTCATACACAAGGAAAACCAGACTAAGAATGTGGATCAAGGTATCCCTCTTGTTCCCTTCTCACCCGACCATTTTTCAAACCAGGGAAGCTCCGTTAGCCAAAATGTTGTAGCTGGGTACCTTCCACCCGGGAAAAACTTTGTAGAAACATTGATCTTAGAATCTCACTAAGAGGTTAGTAGCTAGCACTAACTCACCTTTACAAGAGCAGCTCTACCGAGGCTAGGTCTGAAACCCATGAAATGGCCAAACAAAGAGCAATGACTTCACACGCAGAGACCTAATGTGTTCCTCTCCATTTCAACTTCAGATTTGCTGACCATGAGAGAATATCACTGTTTGCTGCAACTGCTGTGCCCGGATTTCCCCCTGGAGCTCACTCAGAAAGCAGCCAGGTATGTGCCCTGGGCTCTAGAAGCTAACTCAGCCCTCTGCGGGCCAGGACTTCTTAGAGAAACCTGAAATGTATACACACAAACAAGCAAACCATTAGGAAAAATACAAAACCATTAGGGAGAAACTGGCATTTGGAGAGGGGTCTGTTTGAGATTTGCCCCAAAACATAATGCTCACTTTCTGCCTTTCCCAAGGGAAGCCAAATGATCCTTTGTGGTTTCTGTGGGGGGCCTTAGGGTCTGCAGACAGAGCTGGGGGGTGGTGAGATGAAGACACACACACACATACACACACACACACACACACACACACACACACACACACACACACACACAAAGTCTCTAGAGGATATTCTGAGAAACGAAGGGGCAAGAGTTGGCAGTGACCAGTGAATGAAGGCATAGATTGAGGTTGGAGACTGGAAAGGTATGGAGGTGATGAAGCCCAATTAAGAGAAGGATAAATGATATTATTTATGCTGAAAGAAGATTTTCTTTTTTTTTTTTATTTTTTTAAAAATTTTTTTTCAACGTTTTTTATTTATTTTTGGGACAGAGAGAGACAGAGCATGAACGGGGGAGGGGCAGAGAGAGAGGGAGACACAGAATCGGAAACAGGCTCCAGGCTCCGAGCCATCAGCCCAGAGCCCGACGCGGGGCTCGAACTCACGGACCGCGAGATCGTGACCTGGCTGAAGTCGGACGCTTAACCGACTGCGCCACCCAGGTGCCCCAAAAGAAGATTTTCAAGATTAGTCCAGAACCAGGAAGACTTGGCAGAAATAGTTTGAACCCCCTTATTTCTGCGTTTGATTTCATGGTCATTCCCATTTTAACCAAATGAGGTAGTTGGACTGTGCCTCAATTACCTTTTACTTGACACGAAATTTGACCTAAGGTGGCAAATGGAAGAATTTCAAAATTGTGTTGTCTGAAATTGCCAGAAAAGAGGATTTTTAGGAAAATACTCTGCATTGTACTACACATGATAGATACATGTCATTGTACATCTGTCCCAAAAGTACACATGAAGGGTAATGTAAAGTATGAACTCTGGGTGATCATGTTGTGTCAGTGTAGCTTCATCAATTGTAACAAAGGTTCCACTCCAGTGCAGTGCAGGTGTTGATATGGAGGAAGCTATGCAAGAGTTGGGGGATGGGGGGTATGTGGTAAATCTCTGCACCTCCCCCTCCATTTTGCTGTGAACCTAAAACTGCTCTAAAAAGTAAAGTCTTGTTTTTCTTTTTTAACTTTTTAATGTTTATTTTTTAGAGAGACAGAGGGCGGGGCGGGGAGGGCAGAGAGAGAGGGAGACGCAGAACCCGAAGCAGGTTCCAGGCTCTGAGCTGTCAGCACAGAGCCTGACACGGGGCTCAAACTCATGAACCGTGAGATCATGACCTGAGCCAAAGTTGTACACCCAACTGACTGAGCCACCCAGGCACCCCAAAAGTAAAGTCTTTTTTTTGTTAATGTTTATTTATTTTTGAGACAGAGAGAGACAGAGCATGAACAAGGGAGGATCAGAGAGAGAGGGAGACACAGAATCTGAAGCAGGCTCCAGGCTCTGAGCTGTCAGCACAGAGCCCGACGCGGGGCTCGAACTCACGGACTGTGAGATCATGACCTGAGCCGAAGTCGGCCGCTTAACCGACTGAGCCACCCAGGCGCCCCAAAAGTAAAGTCTTAATAATATTTTTTAATGTCCATCTTACCTCAAGCATAGTGTATGCATTTACCTTCATTATTTCATTTAAATTCATTTACCTTAATTACCTCACTTAATCCTTATAAAAACTGTTACCTTCCTATTTTACTCAAGAGGAAACTGATATACCTCAATTAAAAAAAAAAAAAAAAAGAGGAAATTAAGGCTCAAAGAGGTCAAGTATGTGGCCTGAATTTACTGATAGCTTGTAAGTAGCAGAGGCATGACCTGAACCCAGGGCTGCCTGAATCCACAGACTTTGCCCTTAACCTCCTCACCCTCCTGCCTGCTCATCTTGTGAAATCATTTCTGCGTGGTGGTTTGACCCACTGACACCACAGCTGCACTGGCTACGCTGCACCAAGAACCATCTGAGTCCTTCTGAGGTGAGCCAACCATCCCCTCCGCTGCCAGCGACAGACTCCAGCCTCACCCCGGGGCGGGCTGTTCTGCAGTTCACAGCTCACACGCTGATTTCGCTGGTCATGTGCAAAACTTGTTTAGTGGTCACGCAACCAAAATCTTCTTCCCTGCGTTGTCCAGTGGATACTTACCTTTTCCAGTGGCACTTGGCCCCTGGTAAAAGCAGCAATTCGGGTTTTATCATTTTAACTGATCTGCTATCCAAAGGACATCTAGATTTTTTTTTTCCATAGTTGACAATAAAATGTGGGAGATTATCTCTTGTAATTTAAGAGCAGCCAGCTGGAGTTACCTTCAGATTTCCAATGATAGTGCTCCTTGAGGTCAGATTATTTTAAGGAAGATTCAGCCCCAAATTTGGGGGGGAAAAACTCTTTACAGACTGTACTATGATTTCTACATAGCTGAATAATAAAAATCAGCTGTGATCTCTAACAAATCTTCCTAGAGAAAAGGAACCGTGAGTGTAAGTAAGCTCCCAGTAAGTGTAAGCTCCATGAGGGCAGGCAGGATCTATACCAGTCTTATTTGCTGCTGGATGCCTGTTGCCCAGACCAGTACCTAGATACGTGCTAGACACTCCATTAAGTGTCTCCCGATTAAATGAACATATGAATGACATCGCTTGTCAGGCATTTTACGTAGTTCAAATAGTCCATGATTCTCAGTAATTCGAAGAACAAACATCAGCCACTGTATCCTATATTCATTTGTTCATTCATTCATTTATATATTCATTAAAAATTTTTAACAGCTTGGGGTTTCTGGTCCAACTCTTGATCTCAGCTCAGGTCTTAATCTCAGGGTCATGAGTACAAGCCCCACATTGGGCTCTGCATTGGGCTCTGTGCTGGACATGAAGCCTACTTAAAACAAAATTCAATGGGCTTTTATTATAGTCACAGAGTACATTCGTATCCATCAGCACAATCAAGTTTAGAATATTTTAATTGCCCCCAAAAGAAATCCTGCAGTCCTTAGCCACTACTCCCCAATCTTTCCCTCCTCCCCAGCCCTGGGCAACCACTAATCTACTTTCTGTCTCTATAAATTTGCCTAGACATTTAAAATGAGTGGAATCATATAGTATGTGGTCCTTTGTGACTAGCTTCTTACACTTGGCATAGTGTTTTCACGGTTCACCCATGTTGTAGCAGTACTTCATTCCATCAGGTATTTCTTGAATGCCAGGAGCGATTATGTACACTGGGGATACAGTGATGAATAGATGCTGTTCTTCCCCTCAAGGAGCTTAACATTAGGTGTAGAAGAGGACCCCTTTGGGCCTCAGTCACTGTCTGCCACCACTCTGTGACATCTCACCTTGGTTTCTGTCACTCCAGAACAGTTACTGTCCTCCTTCCCTGAAAGGTTGGTGGCAAGTTAATGAGGGTGACCTTCTGTAGGATTTTCAACCCCTAGCAGCCTCAGCTTTGCACTTGCCCCACCCAACTTCCAGACCCTTCCAAAAATTTGATATGTGTAAGCACTCAAGATTAGAAGTAACACCAAGTGGGGCGCCTGGGTGGCTCAGTGGTTAAGCGTCCAACTTCAGCTCAGGTCATGATCTAACAGTCCGTGAGTTTGAGCTCCGCATCAGGCTCTGTGCTGATAGCTCAGAGCCTGGAGCCTACTTCAGATTCTGTGTCTCCCGCTCTCTCTGCCCATCCCCTGCTCAGGCTCTGTCTCTCTCTGTCTCAAAAAAAAAAAAAAAAAAAAAAAAAAAATTAAAAAAAAAAAAAGAAATAACACCAAGAATGAACTATTCTGACCTCATCAAGATAAAAAGCTTCTGTACAGCGAAAGAAACAATCAGCAAAACTAAAAGGCAACAGTGGAATGGGAAAAGATATTTGCAAATGACATATCAGATGAGTTAGTATCCAAAATCTATAAAGAACTTCTCAAACTCAACACCCAAAAAATAAATAATCCAGTGAAGAAATGGGCAAAAGACATGAATAGACACTCTTCCAAAGAAGACATCCAGATGG